ACATAGATTTACCGTATGATCCAGAAATTCCACTTCTGGGTGTACACCCAAAATAATTAAAAGCGGAGTACAGAGGCTGGGCGGGCGGCTCACGTCTGTAATCCCAGCACTTTGGGAGACTAAGGCGGGCAGATCACCTGAGGCGAGGAGTTCAACACTAGCCTGGCCAACATGGTGAAACCCCATGTCTACTAAAAATACAAAAAAAAATTAGCCGGGCAAGGGATGGGTGCCTGTAATCCCAGCTACTTGGGAGGCTGAAGCAGGAGAATCGCTTGAAGCCGGGAGGCGAAGGTTGCAGCGAGCTGAGATCTCGCCACTGCACTCCAGCCTGGGCAACAGAGTGAGACTCTGTCTCAAAAAAAAAAAAAAAAAAAAAAAAAAAAAAAAAAAAAAAAGAAAGAAAGAAAAAAAAGAAAAGCCGAGTACAAAAAATACTGAAGAGATATTTGTAGACCCATATTCATAGTAGATTATTCACAATAGCCAAGGGCTGACAGCAACCCAAGTGTCCACGGGCAGATGAAATGGATAAGCAAAATGTGGTATATGCATATAATGGAGTATTCTTCAGCCTCAAAAAGGAAGAAAATTCTGACATATGCTACAACATGAATAAACCTTGAAGATACTATGCTAAGTGAAATAAGCCAGTCACAGGAAGATAAGCGGTGTAGAACTCCACTTACGTAAGGAGTCTAGAGTAGTCAAATTCAGAGACAGAACATAGAATAGTGGTTGCCATGGGCTGAGGGGAGGAAGAAATGGGGAGTTACTGTTTAAGGGTATAGAATTTCAGTTTTGCAAGATGAAGTTCGGATACTGGTTACACAACAATGTGAATATACTTAACACTACTAAAGAGTACACTAAAAAATGGTTAAGAAAGTAAATTTTTTATCATTTATATTTAACCACAATTTTTTTACATGTTCATTTTTTTGTTGTTGTTCAGCCTCCCGAGTAGCTGGGATTACATGTTCGTGCCACTATATATGGCTGATTTTTTTGAAAAAAATGTTCATGTTTATATATTAAAAAAACCAAAATGAAACAAAAATATAACTACTTAAATAGTTGCCCACCCTTCTAAAAATAATTTCAGGAGTTTATAATGCATCTTAATTCTCCTTTCTTTCACCATAATATGCTTCTTAAGTACGTGAAATTCAGTGTACTTAAAACTAAGCTCACCTTCTTTTCTGCCAAACTCACTCTTCCTTTCTCATAATTTTATTTAAGCCCCAAATCCAAGTCATCCTTGATTCCTTGCTCTCCTTCCTCCCTACCAAGTGCAACCATTATAAATTGCTTCCCTTTTACCTTTTAAATTTCTCTCAGATTGGCCCCTTCTCTCCACCTCCACCATCACCACCCATAGTACCGGCCATCTTCAACTTCTTCCTGGTCTGTTCTGTCAGGCTCCTAACCATCTCCTTTGTTTCCATTTTTGATTGTTCCTGCCAACTTTTTCCCACTATTGGCTACAAAAGGAACTTAAAACAAATACACACACACACACCCTTGCAAATCCAATCACATCAATCTTTTGTTAAGGCTCTTTAATTGAGGCTTCCCATTGTTCTGGTCTACAAGTCCCCTGGCAGGGTGTGATCCCTAAAAGAAGTGCATTTCCTTTCAAGGGCATTTCCTGTTTCTGGTGCCTATGGCACTCCAGCCACACTGGCTCTCTAGGTCACTGTGCATGCCCCAGTCCTTCCTGCAACAAGACTTTTGTGTATATGCTCTTCTCCACCTCCATCCTACTTCCTGCACTTAAATCTACTCATTCCCTAGACAGGGTATTATTACTTCTTTCAGAATGTCTTCTCTGCCTTTGACTCTCCCAGTCTGTGACATGTTCTCTGCTGAGAAATGCTGAGTGTATGATAAATTATATTGTTTGCTAAGAAGAATGATGCCAAGGAAAGCCTAGCTGCCACCAGCCCCAAGGGGAAAACTGCTTGGGGCATTCTAATGTATCAAAACAGTATATGTATATCATACACCAGTTAAAATACTTCTTTAAGCACGGGATATGTGACCCTGCCCCCATGGTTCCCTCGTGGAGAATACTTTCTAGTATCAATGGTAAGCAGGCACCCGCTGCCCACCTAGCTTATCTTGGGTCTATGAGAAAACACAGAACACCTGCCTGTTGATAATAATCACCTGTTCAGAGAGAATAACTACATGGGTTCGAATCTGCTCGGGGGGCCGAAGCCCGGAATGCTGTCAGCCTCTGAGGCTCTCAGCTCAGAAGGCTGTTGACCCCCAGACAGTTCCACTTTGCTGTTCTATCTGGGTGTCTGCTTCTTAATGCTTTCAGCACCACCTAGGTAGGGGGTCTCTACAGCCGAGCTGGTCTCAGTAGTTCTCTTAGGTTATTTGCTCCTATACCTCTCCTTATAATGATTATTATCAAACAAACACTGAGTGATTATCAACTGTCTCACCTGCTGCCTGCAAGCTCTATGAGGGCAGGTAAAACCCTTCCAAATCTGTTTTATTATACAAGCTCAGCCTGCAAAAGGAATGGGACAAACTAATTTAGATTAGCCCAAGTTGCATTTTTAAGATAAAAAAAATGGCCTGACTTCTGGAGTCCCATAAGAACTGGTCACCATTTCTCTTCCTTGCCTTCCCAAATTGCATGAGTTCTCCAGAATACTGCTTCCAATGCAAAAGAATCCTGTCAGGCAGATAGGTCTTGAAATGCAATGTCTGCCACCTGTTTATTATTCATTCACTTACTCAGACATGTATCAAGGCCTGCCTATGCATAAAGCTATGCACACATATGAACAAAAATAAGTACTTGCTCTTAAAGCATTTCCACTCTTGTGGAAAAGGTGAAACATGCTCTTACATTTTCCTGTTAACCGCCCCCACTACCTGAAACCCTATGTTTTAACTAGTTGTATAACCTGGCCTCTCTGTGCCTCAGCTTCCTCATCAGTAAGATGGTAACCACCTCATGGGATTGTAAGGCTTCACCAAGTTAAGACACATAAAGTACTTAGCATAATGCTTAGTACATAAGAAAGGTTCAATAGCTGTTAGCAACTTAAAACATAAATATCCTCCCCAGCAAGGCTTAGACCCGTAATACTTTCTGGCAGTACAGCACAGGTAAGGGTAGGTTAGCCATTCAGGTTGTGTCTGTGGCATGCACCCAACACATACATTCTTTTAAAACTTTATTAACATGTCAATAAAGACTACATCTGATAAATAAGAGCTCTGCGGTAATGAGGTCATTGTCTGCAGTACTCTTTGATTTAATAAGCCTGGGTAGGCAACAGGTATCTTCAAAATAATACAAGCTGATATTTTAAAAGTGAATGTTGTGTCAATTTGCTGGTGTGTAAATACTAGATGACGTGGCTACCTTTGTCAGCTGATATCCCGCCTCCACAGAAACAAGTTGAAGTAATTATTTCCTACTGATTTTATGGATTTTTTTTTTTTTTTTGAGATGGAGTCTCACACTGTCGTCCAGACTGGAGCGCAGTGGCGTCATCTTGGCTCACTGCAACTTCCATCTCCCAGGTTCAAGCAATTCTTCTGCGTCAGCCTCCTGAGTAGCAGGGGCTACAGGTACACGCCACCACTCTCCGCTAATTTTTGTATTATTAATAGAGACGGGGTTTCGCAATATTGGCCAGGCTGATCTCAAATTCCTGACCTTGTGATACGCCAGCCTTGACTCCCAAAGTGCTGGGATTACAGGTATGAGACACTGAGCCCGGCGATTTTATGGATTTTAATGAAGTTTTTGCAATTTTTTCATATTGCACAGGCATATGTGCCCCCCACCCTGCCCCGCCCCAGACAGATTCTTGCTCTGTTGCCCAGACTGGAGTGAAAAATTAGCCAGGCGTGGTGGCGGGGGTCTGTAGTCTCAGCCACTCGGGAGGCTGAGGCAGAATTGCTTGAACCCAGGAGGCGGAGGTTGCAGTGAGCCAAGTGCCAATGCACTGCAGCCTAGGCAACAGAGCAAGACTCTGTCCTCAAATAAAAAAAAGAAAGAAAGAAAGAAAATGAAAATTAACACGCTTTCCGCCCTCAAGGAGCTTTGTTTAGCAGAAGAAACCTATACAAATATCGCCTAAATATACAAATAGGCCATACCTAATAGACCCTAGCGCTGGGCCCAGTGAGACTCACAGGATTCTCTATTGGAGGAGAATCAGGCACAATTCCAAAAAGAACCCTTGAACTAAGTCCTGAAGGATGCACAAAATTCTTCAATGACATAGAGAAACGGCAGTGTCCACAAAAGGAACTGCAGACTGGTTGGGACCCGGTAATTCTGCGTGGCTGGAACGCAAGATTTGGGTAGGAGAGCGGTAGATGAGGTTGGAGAGACAAACAGGGCTGCCTTGTAGATAGATGTTCCATGAAAAGTTCGTACTTTTTTCTAAGTAGGGAAGCTATGGGAAAATCCTAATCTGGGTAACGATGTTACGGGTTTACACTTTAGAAAGAACCGTGTTTTAGGACTCTACAACTCCCATGGGAGGGCTGCCCTAAGCCAGGGGTTCTCACTCCCGCTGTTCCGGGATTCACGGACTACTCGCCGCCTTTTCCCAGCCTTGATCAGCACTGTTACCCCGCCCGCCGTGCGATCCCGCCCCCCTCGGAGCGCCCCTGTGGTCTGACTTCAGCAGCATTTTCCGGCAGGAGACTGGGCACTCGCTGTCACCCGCGAGCGGCCTCCCTCAACGCGATTTGAGCATCCTTCCGGAGGCTAACAGACCTGGGCTTCGGCGTGACCACTGTGCTTGCCTCAGTTTCCTTTTCTGGAGCAGGGAAGGCCCGGCTCCCTGCTCATAGGCCGCTGTGCGCTAAGTGGCAGACGCTCTGGGAGAGCCGGCGCCGGGCGGACCCCAGCGCCAGTAGTGACGGGGGCTAGGGCCGCCAGAGCCGCCGGGTGACTCCAGCCGGCGGGCGAGCGGGGTAAGCCGGACCGCGGGCGGGAGGGCGGGGCGGCTCACCGGTAAAAGGCAGAGTCCCCGAGCGGGTTCCAGTTCGCCGTGTAACAGTCCATGCTGGTGCAGACAGCAGCAGGGAAGCGCCGAGGGGACACCCACCCAGAGCAGGCTCCAGGCCGGCACTTCCGCTTCCGCCCGTGCGGGTCACGTGGCGAGGCCGCCGCCGCGGCCATCACCACTGTGGGCAGACGCACTTGGCCAAGACTGCTGCGACCCCTGCCCGCACTTGGGCTTCGCGCCTGCTAGGTGGGCCCAGCCCTGGCTCCTGCCCTCTGTGGCGGCCACCTCCATCGCCTTGCTGCCCCTTCGGGCACTGGCGGTCGCTCAGGGCGCGACATGGGTGAACAGAAGTGGAAGCTGTGAGCGTCGCAGCCCCAGGCGCCGAGGCCTGAGGCGCCGTCGGGGCCACTGCGACGCTCGCATGGAGAACGCTGGGCGCTGTGCTGCGCACCGACGGCTAACCGGGACCCACGGTCTCTGCGGGGCGGGACCTTTGCAGAACCGACTGGGCCGCGGGAACATGAGGCTTGGCCAGGAGCCCGCTGAGGGCCTGGCGCGCGGTGCGCAGGCCTGCCCGGGTCGCAGGTGAACGGCGCGGAGCCCCGGGACTTGGTAATTGGCGCGAGCGGGCGCGCGCATGCGCGGGACGGCAGCGGGCACGTGGTGAGGCGCAGGGCGCGTTGCGCGGGAAGCTCCCCAGTGCCCTGGAGGCCTGCTGTCTTGGCACCCTGCATCCGGTGCCAAGTGTGACCAAGGCTGGTGCCACCGTGGCTCTGCCGCCGTCACCTCTTCCCTTTAGCGCTGAGCAGCCCTGGAGGGGCTGGCGCAGACGTCCGTTGTCCCGGGGCTGGCCCTGAGGCCGACCTGCCCTGAGTCCCCGCCGTCGCGCGGCTTAGTGGCCTCTCCCTGCAGCCTGTCGTATTCGGTGGCGCCATGGTCTTCTGTCTGTCGAGCGAGGAGTCGCGCCGCCCGCTTCGAAGCAACATGGTCCACTTCCAGGCCTCGGAAGTCCAGCAGCTGCTACACAACAAATTCGTGGTCATCTTGGGGGACTCCAGTGAGTGCCTCTCCTAGGATGACACTTCCAGTCCCACAGCTTGCAGCCTGTTCAGTGTGTCTGGACCATTTGTCTCCATCTCACATCTTCTGTCTGTCCTCTAGTCTGTTCTCAACCAGTAGGTATTCTCTTTTTTTTTTTTTTTTTTTTTTTTTTTTGAGACAGAAGACAGAGCCTTGCTTTGTCACCCAGGCTGGAATGCAGTGGCTGAATCTCAGCTCACTGCAACCTCCGCCTCCCAGGTTCAAGTGATTCTCCTGCCTGTCTCAGCCTCCCGAGTAGCTGGGACCACAGGTGCCCTCTACCATGCCCAGCTAATTTTTTGTATTTTTAGTAGAGACGGGGTTTCACTGTGTTAGCCAGGATGGTTTTGCTCTCCTGACCTCGTGATCCGCCCGCGTTGGCCTCCCAGTGTTGGGATTACAGACGTGAGCCACCGTGCCCAGCCAGGTTTTCTCTTTTTATGTCCCACACATCTTCCACAGGTGTCCTGACAGGTGTAATAACCTGTACACTTGTTGGCCCATCCTTGCTCAGCGTTTCTTGCTGGGACACCCCCTCTCCCCCATAATTTCCATCATGAAACTGTTGCATTGTGTAGTGTGTCTCCCGGGTGACTTGAACAACTTAATTTCTGCCAGGTGATCTTGGGTCATTGTATACTGCTGGCCAGAAGGCACACAGAACAGAGGCAATGCCAGGACTTTTTAACCTCATCTTTTCTCCTGCCTCTAAGTAAACACTCCATGGAGCTGGTGTTGGGCAGCTCAGCCCTGGGAAGATAGGGTCCTGGACTTGGAAGGAGCTGGGGCAGGATAAGGTCTGCCTCAGCCTTGGGATCTCTGTCTCCCCGCAGTTCAGCGGGCTGTGTACAAGGACCTGGTGCTCTTGCTCCAGAAAGACTCACTGCTCACAGCTGCCCAACTGAAAGCCAAGGTGAGGGAAGCTTGGTGGCCATGTCAGTGGTGGGTGGGCACAGCCCCTGGCCTGGCAGGGTTCTCCTCCATGGCATGGATCTGACCAGTAGGGCTGGGGGGTGGGTAGGGGGAGCTGAGCTTTGAACAGGACCAGCTGGTGGCTGGGGGCCAGCTGGGCGAGCTACACAACGGGACGCAGTACCGTGAGGTCCGCCAGTTCTGCTCAGGCTCTGGCCACCACCTTGTGCGCTTCTACTTCCTCACTCGTGTTTACTCCGAGTACCTTGAGGATGTTCTGGAAGAGCTGACATATGGACCTGCTCCGGACCTGGTGATCATCAACTCCTGCCTCTGGGATCTCTCCAGGTTGGGGCGAGGGGAAGGGATATACCGGTTGGGGCTGGAAGTATGGCTCAGAGGCAGTCCACCCCTGTGCTCTTGCCCACCCTGTATGTCACCCAATAGATATGGTCGCTGCTCAATGGCGAGCTACCGGGAGAACCTGCAGCGGGTGTTTGTGCGCATGGACCAAGTGTTGCCAGACTCCTGCCTGCTGGTGTGGAACATGGCGATGCCCCTGGGGGAGCGTATCACTGGGGGTTTTCTCCTGCCAGAGGCAAGTTACTGAGGCCCATCAGGACAAGAGATGGGACAATAGGCTGGTAGATAGGACACCTTGATTTCCGACCCTGCTTTATTCTGTGGCTCTTAGAGGCTGCACTTTCTCATTCAGCTCCAGCCCCTGGCAGGCTCCCTGCGGCGGGATGTGGTTGAAGGGAACTTCTACAGTGCTACGCTGGCTGGGGACCACTGCTTCGATGTCCTAGACCTCCACTTTCATTTCCGGCACGCGGTACAACACCGTCATCGGGATGGCGTCCACTGGGACCAGCATGCGCACCGCCACCTCTCACACCTGCTTCTGACCCATGTGGCTGACGCCTGGGGCGTGGAGCTGCCCAAACGTGACTATCCCCCTGGTGAGCCCTACCATAAGTGGGGGTAGTGATGCACTGGGGCCCTCAGAGCACAGGGCTCAGAAACAGAATGGGACAGAGCCACTCAAGGGAAGTAGGGGTCCCTTTAAGGACTGCTCTGGCTCCTGTATGCTCTCCTTCCTCAACCCCTTAGGAGGGTTAGATTGTCGGAGCAATATTCTTATCCAAGTTCCAGTTTCCTACAGTCTGGCTGTGTAGTCCTTTCTGTGTACATAAAGGAGCTTATACGTGTACTGACCACATAAGACAGCATGTTCCAAGAGTCCTACCCAGCAGATGAACAGAAAAGAAATGGGGCACAGATGTGAGGGGTGAAAAGACAAGGAGGAAGGGCCATCCTCCTCAGGATGATTGGCAGTGTGGCAGAAGCAAGGAAGACTGGACAGGAAGACAGTGTGGTAGAAACAAGGAAGCCCATCAGCTGGGGGGCAGGGGTGCAGCCAACTGGCAGGGTGTGGAGTAGGGATGTTGCATCGAGAAGGCCAGCCTTATGGAATTGGGCTCAATGGACAGTATTCCATAGGCTTCTTAGTTCAGTCTCAGTCCCAGTATGACTGGTGCAGCTTGGTGTAGCTCTCCTCTGGCCCCATCTCAGGGTCATTGGTGGAGGCTTCTGAGGACCCCACTCCTCCTGCTTGTTTTGAGGCACTGCTCCCCATCACATCTCAACTGTAACACTCTGCTGCAGAACCTCTGCTTCCATATCAACATTCCAGACCCTGCATGCACACAAAGGGGGCACCATGGCTAATTGTCTCCATGGAAGCTTCTCTGCATCATGTCCTTAAAAGAGCAAGCTTTCTGCTGCACTAGTTGACGACTCACACCTTTCAGCCCCAGTGTCTAGCACAATTGCCCTGTACACGGTATCAACAGAATAGTATTTGTTGAATGGGAGGCATGAGTCACATTAGAAGGCTGCTTGTACAAGAGGATGTGGGGGCACAGAGTGTCCAGGAATATCATAGAGACAAATCTGTAGCACTTGATAGCCAGGAGTTGGAGCATCAGGGAGGTGAATTCGGATTTTGGTTAAACATCCCAATTTCCTTGTTTTGATATGAGGATTGATCCCCAGCAAATGAAGGGATATTCTAAAGCTTGTAAGGCTAGTTGTGATGGCTTAGGCCTTTGAAATCCAATTTGGAGTTACAGAAGTAAGGGCCACGAAAAGGGAGAGTTGATTTGGGGTAGGAGGATGGGTCATTGAGTTTGGTCAGGGCAGATTTATTTAGGTCCTGTGGAAATACAGAGTAGGTTTGCAGTCAGTGGTACCCAGCAGAGAGATGAAAACTGAGGGCACAACAGGAACAGTGTTCATGCTTTGGATTGGCAAGAAAGAGGGGCTGTGGTGGAAACAAAAGGAGATGAGGGTAGGGACGCTTTTAGGAAGGACTGAGGCTTTTGGAACTTGTTAGTAAGTGGTTAATAGGAGAAGTGTTGAGGGCATGGGTTTGGATTAAAAGAGGCAATGAGCAATTGAGGAGGAAATGGAAATTGGGCAAAACATTCCTTTTGGAAGTTTGGATGGTAAAGGGGAGTAGTTGGGGAAGGGAGTAACAGGATCTTTATGTTTGGCTTATTTATTGGTCTATGGGGAGGAGGTGGGAGAGGAAAAAGCTAGATATAGGACCTGGGCAAACAAAGAAGGGTCTGGAGGGAAGTGAGGTTAGAACAAAAGTAGGTCTGAGAGGTAAGAAAGAAGGAACACACCTTGGGCTTGGCCTGACATGAGAGGAAATTAGGAAAACTGGGTAGAGGGCAAGGGCGCTCCAGCCTGGTGGCTCTGCTCTCCAAGAGGAAGGAATAGAGCTTTAGAAGTGTGGACAGCCAGAGTTCAGGGCAGCGTGGCTCCCAAGCCTACCTAAAACAACCATCCCATTCCTAGACCCGTGGATTGAGGACTGGGCAGAGATGAATCATCCATTCCAGGGAAGCCATAGGCAGACCCCAGACTTCGGGAAGCATCGGGCCTTGTTCCCACCCCCACCTTCTCCTTTACCCCCTCCCATGTCTTTTCCCTACCCACTTCCTCAGCCCTCGCCACCTCCCCTCTTCCCACCTCTGCCCCAGGATACCCCTTTTTTCCCAGGCCAGCCCTTCCCACCCCATGAATTCTTC